AAGGAAGAAAAAGGGGAAAAAGGAAAGAAAGAAAGAAAGAAAGAAAGAGAGAAAGAAAAAGAGAGAGAGAAAGAAAGAAAAAGAGAGAGAGAGAAAGAAGAAGGGAGGGAGGGAGGGAGGGAGGGAGGGAGGAAATTAGTTAATGGATTGACAGAAGGGTTAAATGGCTGAGAAGACAAGAAAAGGAGTAATTCTGCTGCAAAAGGAAAGCAGAGCCCTGGCCTCCCACCCAGGAGATGACCCCCACACAGCTGTCCCCAGCCCTGGGCCAGGGGTGCGAGGGGCATTTGGGGCCCTCTCTGGCCCGGCTCGGCAGTGCTCCAGGAGAGGGGTTTGGTGTCCTTACACCTCAGCCATGATTTCATGGCTCTACTTCAATCTAAACCAGCGCTTTGATCTAAGAGTGTAACGGTAGCTGCTTAGGGGAGATAGGAGATAAGAAATAAAGTACGAACTGGCAATGAGACAGGGCTGCCAATGGCAACAACCCACTTGCACTGATGCCGCATACTCAAACATCAAGGGCTGACTGGTACAATTGTTTAAAGGACAGAATGAGAGCTGCCTTACCCCCTAAACCTTTAATTTAATAAAAAAAGATAGTGGGTTATTTGTAAACACCTTTTTCCAGGAAACCATTAGTCTGCCAACCTTCTAATTCCTTATAGGTTATGTATCTCTTCGTACATGTTAAATTTTAATAGTTGCTGTTTGTTCTCCTCCCCGCTTAGCAGCAAGATAGAATTATTTGGTGTTATAAAACAATATTCTATCTCTTTCTACATTAAAACTAGAAATATTTTGGGAGAATATGTTTTCAAAGAGATACTGGCAATTCTGTGCTTGTTTGGAGGAGCAACAAAGTTCCAAGGACTGGTGAGACTGATGGAAAAAAACTAAACAATCGCACAAGAAACTGGCTAAGAAGGGAGCAAACACAATAAATAACCCCCAGACAAAGGGACAATGCCGTCAAGTGGATTAAACACAAAACTGGAAGGCTTTGGCCAGGTTTCTGCTCTCCTTCTGATGCAACGTAACCTTGAGCACATTACCGAGCTCTCCTGTTTGTTAATAGCCAAAAGGACTTAACAAAATACAAACCAGCAGGACTCATTAAATGGCAGCCTCAAGGGTTACTTTGACCAGCACCACTTTGCAAACTGCCTCCACCTGCATTCAAAGCCTGGCTAAAAGGTGGCCCAGGGATGCAAACACCAATTGCTCAAAACAGACCATTTTGTGTTCTAGATATTTTTATTCAGTCCCTAACTAGTCTTGCAGGCTGCGAAAATTTGCCTCGTGGACTAACAACAAAATAGCCTCTGAGAGGATGATGCAAATTCACCCACTGGAGAGCATAAGGCAACAGGCAGCGGCCACTTCCAGGGCAGCGGTTCCTGTGCGGGGTAATAGAAACCTTCTGGTAAAGGAAATATTAGCAGAGAGTGACTTTAAAGAAAAGTATGGTTTTACGGGTGCCTGTTCCAACCTGTGTTTACGCTGTCGTGTTCACCCCACCCCAGGCTGGCGGTATTACATCTATAAGCCATTCGTCTCACGCTGGTTTGTAAAATGCTGCTCTGTGCGGGTACGCAGGAGCCCTCGCTGCACAGCGGATGTATTTCACTGTACCTTTGAGGTGAGTCAGCAGCAGAGAGCAATCTCGCCGAGCGAAGCCTGCTGTCGACTGAATTCACCAGAATTGCAATCAGCCTGCGGAGCCAGCGTGAGGTCTGCTATCAGCGATTTTTCAGGCCCACATCCTATGCTGGGTCTCGAGACAGCCCATAAATTCTCTTATACTTTTCATTACATCAGAAACGTTCACTATACTTTACTACCTCAATCTGGCCAGGAAGAAAATTGTAGTCATTTTTTTCCCGTAGGGTTATTGAAAGAAAAATTCATGGCAAATATTTATAATGGTTAAAACAAAAAAAATCTCAAAGAGAACTGCCTGGAAAAATCTGACAGACACATGGAAACGCTTCCAAAGCACATCTGAGTAAGCTTTCCCGTCATCTCTGCAAAACAAGTGACACGACTGCAATCTCCTTTGGCTGGTTAGGGCTGCCAAAAGAGACGGTGTCCTGACCTTGGGGCCTACAAAAGAACAAAGGTAATGGTAACCGCCTCCACATGCCCCTCCTCACCTGAAGGAGAATATTTTCTATCCAGAGCCCAAGGTACAGCCGAGCAATTCTGAGCTCCCTCAGTAGATGGTAGTGCTGCACTGCTCATCCTCTCTCTACTTTGCAGATATTTCGAAAGTAATTTCCAGGCCTAGCCATTCAATTCTCAGCTCATGGAACATATTTAAAGGCTTCAACTTCTGCACTAACGCACACCCAGGGAATTCCTTGGTAGGATGCACTCATCTCACGTTATTGGCAATAGTTTTTGGCCATGCAGAAGCCAGATAAATGGCCTCAATGGCAGATTTACACGCCAACAGAGAAAAGGTTAATATCTTTAGGATTTATTTTCTTTCTCTGCGGTAAATCTCTGTATCCTGAATGAATGATGGTGTCAGTTTTGGTTTAAAAAAGAAGTCACGGAGCAAAGTGTCAAAAGTCTAAAAAAACAGAAAAGATGGAAGAAAAGAGATCACATTTTCAATGGCATTTGCAGTACCTGACCCATGCATGGGTAGAATTTTCCATCCAGCTTTGCTTATGAGAAACCGGCCTTGTTAGTCCAAGAAATATCTCCTTGTCCCTGGAGACAAAGCAGACAGTGTAACAGCGTAGGGAAAAGCTGTGGATAAAGCACTCCACTGCCAGCATCCTTCTGTGGGGAGGAGGCAAGGGCAGAACTCAGATGTGGAGGGACCACAACCTGTTTATAACCAGGGGAGAGGCGAGATTCCCCCATACCTCACAAAAATCATGGGCTGGATCAGTGCATTCTGGCCTTAAAAATATTTCCGTCCACTATGAACGCTTATCATCACACTTACAATTTTGGAAATCCTGAAAAGCTGATCTACGTTGTGGACTAGGTGAAGGCAGCTTGTCAGCATCCTATGGAGCAGCCCACAGCCTGAAACTCAGTGACCTAAATACTTCTCTTTTATGTTTGAGGAAGAGCTTTCTTGTAGTTTATTTTCCTTCTAATGCTAAAAACATTCAGCACATAAAGGAAAAACCTGCCTGAGAAGGGATGCTTTGGAGGGAGCTCCTTGTACTATATCCTGCGGGAGAAGCAGCAACTCTGGTACTGCCTGCTGTGGGACGTGCAGCAGGCATGTGGGACATGTTGGACATGCAGCTCCTTTCCCTCCCTTTGCAGGCTGTAAAGCAATGCAGATCTCCCTGCAAAGCCTCCACACAGACCCTTTAGCAAAACCCCCCAGCTGCTGCCTTTTCGGCTGTGTATCCTGCAGAAGCCTCTCCCACCCACACAGCGAGTCCTTCTCTACTTGCTGGCTGATGCATCTCCTTCACCATGTGCCCAGCGCACGCGGCGGCAGCGACACGCATGCATCAGCCCACGCACCGGCACCCGCTGCCAACGTCCACGGGCTCAACCCAGTAAACACACACATACAGCCCACGGTGACGCGCAAACACGTGCAGAGGGAGCAGGGAAGAGCAACTGATGCGATGTCCCTCTTTCGTCAAATTGTGCTCCCTGAGTTTTGGAGTTAACCAAAAATCCCTGGGGTGCTGCAGGTCTCGTCAGTGAAATCTGCCTGGTTTTACCCCGGGATGTGTAACACGGAGTCACAGTTGGAACAAGGGCAGCCATACCAAGGACAAGCAGCATTAGGCAGCAAAAGAATGGCCATCAGTCACTGGACAGTAGTCCAAGACCTAGACTATTATGTATTTTATAAATGCATTTCCCAGGGCCATTTAACGATGCCAGCCTTGCCTCCCAGTAATGAATCCATTTGCTGCCACTCGGAACTACCTGCCAACGGGCAGAGCAGGCTTCCCCCATGGAGGAGAGAGCTGTGCAGTCCCAGGGTGGAGTGTTCAGTGTGCTCAGACCCAGACAAGAGTTAAGGTGCTCAGAGAGAGATAAGCGTTGATGAAAGCCTGGAGAGCGGGTGCCTCTGCTGCAGATAAACACTCCTGCCTCTCTCCTCATCCCCCTCAGCCCACCCCACCATCCTGCTCTGACGCAGAGGGAGCTGCAGGGCTGAATGAAACTTGTTTGAGGTTCCAATTAAATCTCCATGGAAGAGGGGCACTCATATCCTCTTCTGATAAAAGGTAATCATAAATCCTCCTGGAGCAGCGGCTGCAGACGACACCGCCTCCCGCAGCAGCAGCCGGCTCTTCGCACCAAGATGGGCTCCAGGGTAAGAGTACGTTTTCCTCTGCTCCATGCAACAGGTTTGCATTGAGAAGGGGACAGGGTTTGTGGCTTGAGACGTAAGGGCTACATTAGTCTACATGTCTTTATTGTCTATGCTTCCTTACTCATTCTCTCTCTCTAATTTTTATATATATATATGTATCTTCTCTTGCATTAATTCTATTATTTGGTCTTTGCTACTACTTGGAGGTACAGTGAGAAACCATCCCTGTTTCCCAACTAAATGACTTGTGTGGCACTCCTATTTGATGATAGAGCGTTTGGACAGTTTGCTTTTTTTAATTAAAAATTGATAAATATCATTGGCTGGAATTTGTGGCTTGACATAAGGGCTACATTAGTCTACATGTCTTTATTGTCTATGCTTCCTTACTCATTCTCTCTCTCTAATTTTTATATATATATATGTATCTTCTCTTGCATTAATTCTATTATTTGGTCTTTGCTACTACTTGGAGGTACAGTGAGAAACCATCCCTGTTTCCCAACTAAATGACTTGTGTGGCACTCCTATTTGATGATAGAGCGTTTGGACAGTTTGCTTTTTTTAATTAAATGTCTATGCTTCCTTACTCATTCTCTCTCTCTAATTTTTATATATATATATGTATCTTCTCTTGCATTAATTCTATTATTTGGTCTTTGCTACTACTTGGAGGTACAGTGAGAAACCATCCCTGTTTCCCAACTAAATGACTTGTGTGGCACTCCTATTTGATGATAGAGCGTTTGGACAGTTTGCTTTTTTTAATTAAAAATTGATAAATATCATTGGCTGGAATTTCAGGAAACCACAGGAGTATCGGAAAGAGTGATAGTTTGGACTCAGCTCCATCCATTTTGCCACTTAGTCTCTGAAGTGCCTACAAGCTATAAGAATGTAAATGGCTAATTGTTTGGTTGGTTTAGTGCAAATTTCTGATTGATATTTTCAGTGTGACCGAGCAAGCAATCTTCTCTAAGTCCATCTGAAGCTCTGATCTTAATCACGTATGTTAGGCTTTTAAGTCCTGTATCTTGCCATGACATTTCAATTAGGTCAAATGAAAAGACATGTAAGGTAAATGAATTTTCTTTGAGACCTAATTTAATCTCCAAAGAACAAACATGGAATAAAAGATGTAGAGATTACCACAGATAAGCTATTGGCTTGATCTGTGCTTTGAGTCTTTGGAAGAAGACTTAAATGATGCCTTGAAGCAGGTACAAGATGTCTCAGGAGAATGGAAATAGGTTAGAGTGCACTCCATCTGCAACTTTAAATGCAAGCTTGACAAAACCACGGTCTTTGATAGCAAATCTGGTGGTCCCAGCTCCTAGGGAAGAGCACCCAGCTCTTGGAGGACACAGACACTAAGTGACCTCAGGAGTTGCCTTCTCAAGGGAGAAGCCATGAGCTGTGGGAGGTTGTAACCCAGAGTGTTTTCTTTAAAGGTTATAGGAGACCTTCAGCCCTGAAGACCAGGAGCCAGCAGGACCCAAGCTGTGAGCTCCAGGCTCTCAGCCATGCCCCCGGCTGCCGAACGTGTGCCCTGGCGATGGCTGGTGGCAGGCAGGGCGTCACGGAGGCTGGTGCTGGTGGTGGTGTTCGTTGCGCTGCTGCTGGACAACATGCTGCTGACAGTCGTGGGTACGGCGTGCGGCTCTCGCTGTGCTCTTCGGGTGCCGCCTCAGGGTTTGGGCTCCTCGGTCGGTCTCCGGATGATGCCGGCAGGGTCCTTGCACAGGGAGAGCTGTGGGGAGGGCTGGGTGCAGGGAGCTTGCAGGACACCAACATCTAGGCAGCACCATTCAGTTCAGCTGCGTGCCAAGCCAGAAAATGGAGTAAAATCACTAACTAATCCCTTCCCTGGCTTTTCTTCCAGTACCGATCGTCCCCACCTTCCTTTATACAACAGAATACGAAGGCACCAACAGCTCTGTTGCCCCAGCCCGGACTGAGCCAGCTCCTCCAGCCTTGAAGGCTCCTCCTTTCTCCTCCATGTTCTCCTATTTTGACAACAGCACGGTGACTGTCTCGGGCTCCATGAGCGCTGTGGACTTGGCAAACGGGACGGAGAGCAGCCACCCGCCGCAGCCCCTTGCCAGCAGCCCACCACTGCCGAGCGGCTGCCCAGAGGGCAAGGAGTTCCTCGCCAAGGAAAACATCCGCGTGGGGCTGCTGTTTGCCTCCAAGGCTCTCGTACAGCTGGTGACCAACCCATTCGTGGGTCTCCTGACCAACAGGTAGGTCAGAGACCTGGGTTTGTACCAGGGTGTAGCCCTTCGGGGACAGGCAGCTCCTGCCTGCTAATGAAATCACCATTAGCTGAGCAGTAAAGGTCTGTGCTGCAAATGTGCAGCCCCTGCAATCACGGAATTACAGGAACCGGTGGGTAAAATAGCAAGGGGGAGGATATATGCATCAAAATAAGCATGAATTTTACCTTTTCTAAAAGCCTACAAATGGCTTGCAGGTTTATATTACAACATAAGCCTCACTAATGCTCTTCTCAGGTGTGGATAGATGCTATTTAATACCAGTAGTCATCAAATAAACAAAGATTCCCACCCCGCTATGGATAGAATGTTGTTGTTCAGATTTTCTGCCCCTGAGTTTTAATTTGCCTTTGTCCCTAGCAGACACGCGTGAGGGGCGCTGGGCTCATCTCCACCCATGGTCTGGGTGGGCAGATGAGTTGGCAAAACAGAGCCGTGTCTCTGGGTGTGCTTTACAGTATTTTCTGGGGGCACTTAGACACTGGATGCTTCCTTGAACAGCACGCATGGGCACATCCACACATTCAGGAGATGCTCACCAGCCCACAGAGATGTGTGTGTTAAGGCTGGGCAGCAAGACCAGATCTCAACCTGGAATGAGGAATCATCCCTGAGACGGTGCCTCTTTTTTCCCTTTCCAGGATAGGATACCACATCCCCATGTTCATCGGATTCATTATCATGTTCCTCTCCACAGTCAGTGAGTATCGCCCTTCAGTCTGCCCTTCATATACAGCAGCACAGGAGAAAATACTTCAGTCTGTGCCTGCACTGCTGTCCCTGTGCAGGAGAAAGGAGTGAGAGCAGAGCAACCGGTCTCAGAAATCGGTGACAAGAAAGCATGAGTGGCACCCAGCACCCTCCAGCACCCAAACTGGTGCAAGCTGGGGCCGCTGTTACCCTCTGCAGGGTTTTAACGCTCAGGCCGCAGTTCTGCCTGATGCCGTCTCTCTCTCCTTCCTCCGCAGTGTTTGCTTTCTCAGGCACCTACACCTTGCTGTTCATCGCCCGAGCCCTCCAAGGCATAGGGTCATCATTCTCATCAGTCGCAGGTAAATGTTT